GATTATCAGTTTCGGACAGAAACAGAGCAGCAGGGGTATTTCAGTCTTTTCACAGGCTACGTTGCTCCGATTGGGCCGAAATTTTGTAGGCAATTATAAAACATCATTCTCTACAGCTTTTATGTTTTAACCTTAAGCTAATTCGGCCTCTAACCTGCTCAACTAAATTCGGACAGAACAGGCCTGTTTGAAACCCTAACCTGAAAATTTTGCCCCAAACCAGAATTTTTGCACAATCAACCATATCCAACATATATCAACTCCATTTTACACAATAACTAACCAACAATTCATGACTAACCAACACTAAACATATGAAATCAGAAAAATCAAGCATAAAATAAAAATCCATCAATTTTCACCACAAGTCATGAAATCATCCAAAAAAATCACTTATTCAACTACCACAAGGCACCAATTTAGCATTATCATGAACAAGAAAGAATTTCTTGGTTACTCACCTTACCAACCCAAGAAAGGAAGCAGCTTAGCACCTCAATCTTCCAAACCACTTGATAACCAACTTTGCAACCGCTAGACTAGGAATTTTTATGGAGAGAATCCAAGTTTAATCGGTTAGATTTGAGAATTAAGCAAGATTGGAAGCCAAAGAGTTGAGAGTTTTCTTTTCTTTTCTTGTGGAGAGAGTCAGCCAAGAGAGGGAAAAATAAGAGGATTTTTGGCCAATTTTTGGTATTTATTTGGTAAAGATGATAAGATGGTCTTATGGTCAAAATTTAAGAAGTAATCAACAAGTGAAACTTGTCACTTCAATTAATACATGGTTATCCTTTTGTCTCTCCACTCTCATCCATATAACAACCTCTAATTATCTCTTAGCACATGGTAAAATAGAATTCGATACCCAAACTTAACCTAACTGACCAAATTTTTCCGAACTTTCCGCACTAGCGGATCCCATGTCCGATATATGCTCTTAATTTCTCAAAAACCAACCGATACTAGAAAAATCATCTAAAAACTATATTTACTCATAAAAATTATTTACAAAATTTTCCTAATAAAATTATTCACAATATCACTCTGTATTTTATCGATATTTTAATGCTAATAAAATTTTATTAGTTATTTATGTGGATGATATTGTGATTACAGGTGATGTTGTGGAGATTCAAAAACTTAAATCCAATCTGCAGGCAAACTTTCAGACAAAGGATTTAAGTCATCTACAATATTTTCTGGATATTCAGATAGTTCAGTTTAAATATGAAATTTATTTGTGTCAAAGAAAATATGTACTATGTGAGAACCCGTAATTTTCCCATTTTCTATGTTTTATTCGGTTTACTGGCATGTTTTCTGCATTTTCTTTATTCGAAAAGTTTCTAGATAAGTTTTATGAGTAAATATAGTTTTTAGATTATTTTTCTAGTATCGATTAATTTTTGAGAAATTAAAAGCGTATACCGGACGTGGGACCCACTAGTGCGAAAAGTTCAGAAAAAATTCGACCAGTTAGGTTAAGTTTTGGATACTGGATTTAATTTATCGGGTGTTATGAGATAATTAGAGGTTACCAAGTGAATTGGTGTGAGAGGAACAAAGAGATAGAGATGCATTAAGGAAGTGACAAGTGTCACTTGGAGATTAGTTTTACCTTTTGACTACTATTCACCGTTTTACCATTTGACCAAATAAATCAAAAATTACCAAAATTATCTTCATTTCCAAGCTCTTGTGGCCGGCCAACTCCAAGGAAGAAAGAAAGAAAAGCTCTTCAAATTCTTGATTCAATCTTGCTCAAATCCAACAAACCCACCATTTAATCTTGCTTTTACTCCATAAAAACCCTTAAGTGAGTGGTTGTGAGGTGATTAGTGGAGTTGTTTGGAGGATTAAGGTGCCAAGTTGCTCTTTTCCTTTTGTTACTAAGGTGAGTAGTGAAGGAACCCCTCTCCTCTATCTAATGATGTCTAATTAATGACTTGTGGTAGCCTAAGAGGTGATTTTGTAGATTATATCATGATTTTGGTTGAATTTGGTGAAATTTTATAATTATTCATGATTTTTCTGTTTTAGTATAATTCATATGTCGTGGCCATGGATGATGATTGAAAATGATCTTGAAAGAAGCTAGAAGGTGTAAATTGTGGTTAATTACAGAAAATTTCTGCTTTGGAAAGAAATTTTGGAAGTTAAGATTTTATTTCCTCTCATTCTGCCCGGTACTGTTCATCATAGTTAGAGGCCGAATTAGTCTTGGGTTAAAACATGAAAGTTGTAGGAAATGATATTTTAGATATGCCTGCAAAATTTTAGGCCAATCGGAGTAGCATAACTTATGAAAAGACTGAAATACCCCTGCTGCCCTGTTTCTACCCGAACTTGATAATTGCTTCTGTAATTGGTTAATTTGATTGGGAATACTTCTGATTTGGTTGTTGACGTCTTCTTAAGAAATGTAGCCTGGTGTCTTAGCTTTCGGATGACTTTGGAATCACTTGATTTGGACTTAGGTAGCCTGAATTACGATTTGTTAACCAGAATGCGGTTTGTTCACCTGTTTTTGTGATTCTGGTTTGGTATACTGAATTTTTGACCTAGTTGCACTATGAACTGGACTGAGTGACCTTCTGCAACCTTGTAGCCCTAGCTGTTAGCTTCGAAACGGTGTATCTTGCACCTCCATCCAATAATCGTAGTGCCAAAACCGCAAAATGATGTCAAAAACTGTTTTTATGGTTTAGAACTTAATTCCATTTCCGGATTTCCCTGGTTTACTCTAGTGCTCATACATTCTTATGAAGCCCTATTTTGTAGTATTTGGAATTGATTTATGACTTGTAATCGAGTCTTATTGTACTTATTTGAATGTTTTAGGACGTGACGGTGGTCCAAGACGCTCTTTGGGCGGAAGTTTATGAAATATCATTTGCTTGCTTTGTGAGTATATTACTCATTTGTTTGTTTACAATGTGGCTTTATTATATTGAATTTGATGCCTTGAAGGCTTATTTGTACTGTTGAAACTGATTAAAGTGAGGTTGTACTTGATCGCCCTCACCTTCTTTTGTATTATACACGACTGTCTACTGTTTCACTGTGGTACTTAAAATATACATGAAAAACTGGATTTGACGTCGTTTGGACGAGAATCCAACAGCTTTTACTGTTACTATTGAGCTCAACTCCATTGGTAGTCGATTGAATCGAGTCAACGAGGGCTTGGTCGTCATAGTTGACGAGTCATGGGGACTGTTTTATGGAATCTTGTAGTAGTGAGACTCTTAATTCCGATATACTCGAGTATTACCAAATTTTTATTGCTTGGAGTTCGGGCCCGATAGGGATATGTTGGGTGGAAGGAATTGACGTAAAGTGGAGCCTACAGTTGGTTACTCTTAAACATTGACGGAGGGTCAATGAGATCCGATCAAGAATGCAAGCGAGGAAAGGGGCTCTTGAGAGCCGCCCGTATCCTTTTATCAACACTATTAATGTGTGCATTTGCTTACTTTTGATGTATTGGAATGCGAAACTTGATGCTTATATGAACTTTGTTGCTTGAGTGATAATATATCACTGGACGTAAGCTCACTCTGTTCCTTTTGTTTTCCTTACAGGAAATTGATTACTTTTGGAAAGGTTGTACATGTTGGTTGCCGAATTGAGCTTATGCAAATGTATTTCTGAATAGCTCCTTTTAGGCAAAACCCTAACTGTATTTTGATCTAATTATCTCGCTTTTGTTTTGTAAATTACAAACGTATGTATATAACACTGCTTAACCCTGTTTATGGATCTTATTTGGTTTGAAAATTTTTTCCAAGTTATGTGACATGGCACCCACTACTCACCGACGATTTGATTTGCGTTTAGCTATCTTGCGATTCCGACTTGTGTGAGCACGTTTTATTTTCCCGGAATGTTTTAGATCGTTTTAAACAGTCCCGTTAGTCCTCGCGAGAGTTGGACAGGCAGTCCGCTAACCCCTTTGGTTCGCCTTAGGGGAAGGTGGGGCTGTCACATACTCGATATGCTGAGTGAAATTAAGATATTAGGTTGCCGACCTGTGGATACTCCTATGAATCCTAATGTGAAATTAGTAAGAGATCAAGGTGCATTACTAGATAATTCTAAGCAACATCGAAGACTTGCAGGTAAATTAAATCATCTCACTATAACGAGACCTGACATTTCATTTGTAGTGATTGTTATGAGTCAATTTCTTGATACCTCTCGTATTAGTCATTGGAATACTATTATACGAATTCTCAAGTATCTTAAGAGTGCTCCTGAAAAAGGGTTGCTGTATCAAAATTATGGACACACTGATATTGAAGGATATAGTGATGCAGATTGGACTGGTTCTGCCTCAGATCGAAAATCGACCACAGGATATTGTGTGTTTGTTGGTGATCATTTAGTATCGTGAAAGAGTAAAAAGTAAACAGTTATCTCCAGATCAAGTGTAGAATCTAAATACCGCGCTATGACTCGCACTGTGAGTTGGTTTGATTGAAGAGCATGTTATTTGAAATTGAATTTGAAAATAAGCAGCCTATGAATTTAGTGTGAGATAATCAGGCAGCTGTTCATATTGCGTCTAATCCAGTATTTTATGAAAGGACAAAACATATTGAAGTTGATTGTCATTTCATTCGAGAGAAATTGCTTGATAGAGTCATCAAGACATCTCATATATCGTCTACAGATCAACTGGCTGATTTGTTTACCAAAAGTTTAAGAGGCTCTAAGGTAAAATACATTTGTAACAAAATAGGTGCTTATGATATATATGCTCCAACTTGAGAGGTAGTGTTAAGAGAATATAAGTATTCTTATAGATAATAAATTATTAAGGATATTCTTGTAAATAATTTGTTAGGTTTGTACTCCTATAAATACTAGTTGTTCATTCATAATACGATGACTAGATATTTTTCTCCCAAAATACATATTCTCAAAAGAAAGGGTGAGAGAAGAAAAACACAGGTGGAAAAGCTGAGTAAAAAGACAGTGAGAAAAAAGAAAGAAACCTATTTATTTATTAGGCCATCTGCTATCCATCAACAAGGATCCTTGATGCAATCGAGCACATAAACAAGACAGACACACCACGCTTCCTGCAAGTACAGATATATTTCTTCAGCATAAAAGCTCAATTTAGGTAACGGAGAATTAACAGGAGCAAGACATTGAAAACAGAAAAGCAGCAGCAATAAGAGCAAAGAATTTTGTGCCCAATTACTTTCTCAAGTCATTTCCGGGTACAATGTATAACACTTGAATTGCTTTTAGTCATATTTTTTAGTATGCTTTAAAACCTCCATATCATGAGTAGGAAATTCTTCAACCTCATGTAGCACCCTAGTCCACACTAAAAAATAAGATTCTCCTGGAATGAGGAGCAGAACCAACAGTATCCATGTTCTCTGTTTCCTCATTTACCTACCTCTTCTACCAATGGAAATTTTTCATCATACTTTTTGCAGGTAACAAATTTCTTTAAGAAATAAACATTACAAGTCTAGCTGAAGATGTGGACACAAGCAAGGTAACAAAAATCTTTCAAACAATCCTTCCTTGGAAATCCTTCATCCTGTGGCAGATCTGGAGGGCTTGAAATGATAGAGAGTTCAATGCAAAACAAGGGAGCTCCATCAATGTCATACACAATGAAGCACAGAAGAAACGGAAATGGAAATGGAAAGAAGCACAGAAGAAACAAGGAGGCCACAAGATAACACAAAAACTTGAATCAGCAAGATCCTAGCACTGTTATAATGAAGGTGGCAGTGCTAAAACAGGCAACACCTAGGATGATGGGCATTGGAATTACTGCCACGGATACGCAGAATCAAGGTTTAGCAGCATGGTCACTTAAAGAAAGTAGTCTGGAAACAAACTGCAGGATGATGCTGAAGCAGTCAGATTATGCATTATCAAGGCAGCTGAAAAAGGATGGAGGAAAATTCAGAATGGATGCTCAAACAAAAAGGCTACTGTCCCAACTCCATTCTAAGAGACCTGCAGATAGTAGAATTGCTACAATTGTGGAGGATATCCCAAAAATGAGCCCCTGGTTTCATATGTGCTCCTTTAATAGAGTAATTCAGAATGATGATAATTTATGCTTCAGCCTTAGCAAGATTGCTTTAGACAACTTTTGTGATATGAAGCAGTCTTATACTATCTCTCTGTGATAGTGTGCACTGATGTAAAGATTGGGGCCCTTGCCCCCACACTGTAAAGTTTTTTTGACCAATATATAACAACTTATCATTTCAATAAAAATGGAAATCCTTCATGCGGTAGTATTAGGCATGATTAAGCACTTGATTCGTTATCATTTTGCCATTAATCCAAATTGCATTTAAGCTCCTCAAAGAAGATGAAATATGACATAAACATTCAGTAATTCCCAATAGGCTATTACATGGAGACAAGTTTAAACAAAATTAGTCTATAATAAGTAGAAACTCATTAACATCGCATCCCGTTCATAGAATAGGTTTGCTGGCATACTTTTTTTTTTTAAAAGCAGTATAATTCATTTAATGTCACCACCTATTAGTGACATCTTTAATCACTTGCAAGCCCACAGAACTGCAGTTCTTGTATAGAGCTTTTCACACTTGACCGAGCAGCAGATGATACAAGCTCTGATTTCTTGTTAAGCATTTACAGAGACTAGTCACGTTAAGTCAGTCCACCATCAGAATTGCAATTTTGAATGCAATATCAATTGAATTAACCATCAAAAAATAACTGCAATAGTTTTATTTCCAGATGCTTAATCTTAACCACCAAATTGTGATCTAGCTGGACAATTTCATAGACATTCGATATTTGATTAGTTGTTTTTGGAGGTGTTTTTGAAATATTTTACTGTAATAGTGTAAATAAAAAAACTTTTTACTGTAGATGTTTTTGAAGGTATTTTCGGGACACATTTTGGGGTATTTTTAAAGTTCAAAAATTTTTGTGGTATTTTTTAAAAACTACCATCACCACCCACCACCCCTTCCCTTCTTCTCCTCCCTCTTCCTCCCCTCCTCCATCTCTTTCCTCCTCCCTTCCCTTCCCCTCCCTTTCCCCTAAAAGGGAAGCGGTAGGGTGTGGCGAGAAAGGGAGGAGGGGAGAAAGAAGAGGGAGGAAGAGGAAAGAGGAGAAAGAGGGGATGGTCGCGATGGTGGGTAGGGAGAGTAAATTTTATTTTTATATATTTGGAGTTATTTTTGATATATTATATAGATATAGTGTTTTTAGAGTTATTTTTGTTTGTGTATTACTATAGTATTGTATATAAAAAACTTATTTTCAAAAAATGAGGAATCCAAATGGAGCCAACATGATGTTTGTAACATTGAGCACATTGTTGAAATATTATCCTTAGCCACACCTAAGTTAGTGATTAATAAAAATTTAATATTTTTTGACTACTACAAATTGCTCTGATTGCTACAAATTGCTAACAGAAACTGTAATAATCTCTTAGTTTCTTAACAAGTTCCAACCAGCATAGCATAGAAATGGCCACACTATAAATCCTTCAGGAGTTTACCAAATAGTACATGGCTTTGAACAGGATTGAGGCCACCAGAACCCTAACACGTTTAAATAGTTAGGGGGTGTTCGGCAAACTCCATCAAATGCTAAGAAGAAAGTCCGGCATGAAATCAACTAGTTTAAACAAAGTTCCCCTGCTACCAATAATATTAAACACCACCCAACTTGTATGCTTAAAGTGAAAAATTAGCAACTAAATGTAGTGATTTCTGGAACAAAATTAGAAACACTCTTTCACACATGCTTGCACACTCTTATCTGTCTCAAGCACAAATATATGCACACAGATTCTCGCATAAAGAAGCTTTCTTTCCCTTCTCCCTCTCTCTTCTCTGACAAAGCTCTCGCTCCCTATACTTATCCACAAAGGGGTACATTCTTCCTATAAAAATTAGAAATGACAGTTTTTAAAAATTCTAGCTCAACATTTTAAAGGAAAATAGACAACAAAATAACATTTTTTACATTTTAGTTGAATTGTAAAATATCAAATCAGAGCTCAAATAACTAATAACTTCAGCACTTAATAACTACAGTACTTAAATCTTCAGCGTTCAATTTTACTAAATGACTGCTGGAGAACATTTGAATTAATGAAAAAAGAAAGTAAAGAATGAATACAAATCGGGGGGATTAAGTACTTCATTCAGATAAATTTTGACAGGGCAGGGAAAGTGAGGTTAGAAAATGAAGCAAACAGATAGCATAATCTTTTAGAGCTGGAAAGTATCCTTCTAAACATGCATTCAAAATAAAAGATAATGAGATCACTTTGATGAATTTCTTAAGACATGAAAGATACCCAGCATTCTAAGGAATTCAAGAAATCTTCAATCTTCTTTTGTACCGCTTTCCAAACAAAAGACGCCATCAATAAGCAAATGACACCAGAATTCTACCAAGTCCAGAATCGACATTCAACATGTTAGAAAGTTAAATAATTCACAGCACCCCAAGTAGGCTATTAACAACTAGGCAAGAAAAGCTTGGCCATTGATTTAGGTGCAAAAACTTGTTGGGCTAGTGCAACACCTAGGTAGTGCCATTTAGTGTTATATAATTTACCAGTCTGATATGTGGGAATTATGTACTGTGGGTCGATGAGCACTTTCCAGTATAGACAGGAACTATCTTCGAAGCTCACAGAAGCCACTTCTTCAATTCTTCACCACCTCCAAAGGCAATCTCTTTGCAGTGGTTTACCAAGCAACGATGCTTAGGACATTCAACGGGCTTTAAATGATTGTAACACCCCAGTTTTCATATCAAATGTGAGAGAAAATTGAATTGATAACAAAAGCTCAAGCCTTAGGCTCTTAACATTTTCACTTATAACATTTAGTATAAATGGTTTAAATCCAAACATTGTTATACTACTGCATCAACTAGGTCATTACATTAGAAAAAGTAAGTCAACGGGGAGGAAATTCTTTGTCCAGGCAACTTCTAAACAATGGCATGAAAGGAGCCTAACTTTTAGTGTGTCCCAAACGTAGGTTAATTAAATCAGAAAATGCAGACATAAAGACAGCAATGAATTCCAAAATGTGATCTATGTTTCTATGTAATTTCTGCTTCAATTGGGAAGGTTGAAAACCTATGAAGCTGCTGAGGAGGCCTTGGTCTAGTGGCAAACGTTGAGGCCCCAGGACTTAGAGGCTCTAGGTTCAACTCCCCATTTTCCCTCCCTACTTCTCAAATCCCAGCCCTCCCCTACTAGAAAATTTTGTTTTCCAAAAAGAAAACCAACGTAAGCTAGCTATTTTCATATGATGCTAACTTCTATATAGTGGCATGAAAGGAGCCTAACTTTTATAGTGTCCCAAACCTAGGTGCGTTAAATTAGAAAATGCAAATATGAAAAAGGCATTTAATTCCAAAATGTGTCCTCCATTTTCTATGTAATTTGTGCTTGAATTGGGAAAGTTGAAAACCTATGTAAACTAACTTGCTATCTTCATATGATGCTATGCAATGTCCTTCAATTAATTACAAAAGTAAAAAGCAGTCTCAACCACGATCATATTGTGTTGCTTCAATCATAACATTAGAAAATCTCTAGTGACCAGGATTACCTTCAGAGATGATGTATTCAAATGCCAAGCAAAAACTACACATACACAATATTGTATGCAATATGTAATGTCGTACAAGAGAAGAGAAAGAAAGAAACATCTGGATGATACACAACCCTGACTATATGCTTCAATAGAAGCATCCATAGATGTCTCATTTTGGTCACTAAACTTTTTTCTGTTGCAAATTGGTCATTCAACTATCATAACAGTCACAAGCTGCCCATTACATCCAAATTCATCCATTAACTCCAACAAAGGGCACCATATCTGATTTAGTTATTAGTTTTACGGCATTTTTGCTATTGGCTTTGCCCAAGTACCCATTACTGAACAAAAATGTGCATATTTATTGAAACTACCATTTGGGTGAAGCAAAATGATAAAAATGCCCAGAAGTATATTGCTATTATGAGACATGTAAGCGGAGGCAGCAAGTGTCAAGAAAAAAAACAAAGGTATAGGAACTTATACCTTATCAAGAAGTCACCAAGGCATTGAAGGCACACGGTGCTCAACAAACATCCATGAAGTGTCCACAGCATTGGACAAAGGGTATCCTCTTTTTAAGATGATTTTGAGCCATTTAATTTTGTTTGCAAGCTCTTCCAAATCCAAAATTAGAGCATCTAGGGTGTCAGACCTGGCGGAGTTTAAAGGAAGCCCAATACTGTTTCTCAGCTTCTTCTGTGGAGAACTAGAATCAGACAAGTCTTCTCCAAGAGATAGACCTGCAGCTTCAGCTGAACCATCTCTAGCATGAGGATAAGTACCATCTGAACAACTTAATTTCCTAGAGCCATTATCCCCAGGTACCAAGTTCACATTTTCTTCTTGTGCGCCCACCACCTCCTTTGGAAAACTCTCAGATTCTTTCAGCATCTCACTTGCCCCACAGGTCTTCATCTTTTCTGAGGCTGGCAATGACTTTGCGGCACCATGAGAAGAAAGAGATTGAGCAGATGATAACCCACATGCAACCTCACCATCTGTTGTTCCTTCACCCTGTACAGGCATTTCAAATGCCAACCTACCATCTGCTGCATTATGTGTCAACAAAATTTATTCCCATGATACCAAGCTAAAAAGACAGGTAACTAAAAGAATCACTATTCAAGCTTGACTTCCTCATAGTACCTAGCCTACTCTATTTCAAAATCCTTCATTCCCCATCATAAAATCGGTAGCAGGTCTTGGTATATCTTGTAAAAGTATCTCCAAAAGAGAGAGATGTGGACAGAGAACTAAAATTGAAGGGACCAACAAGGGGAACAGTGTCTGCTAGAAGTCAATGAATGGTTACTAGGCAAACAAAATTAAACACAGCAAATGATTATATCAGGAAATGCAGCTTCAGCCCTGCTTCTTAGACTATTGCGAAGTATAGGTAATCATGTCTTTCAGTATAGATAAAGGAGAATAAAACTGCTAATATTTATTTTAATTCTCATGAAAAGGTTGAGACATAAAACGAATGCTATGCATTTCAACAGCACAAACTTCTTAATGCTACCATATACCACACTACATCATGACAGTGATTGTCTACTCCGGCATCATGAAATTGCAAGTTGTACTGCTAAGCTGTTAATTTGCCATAGATGAACAACTTCACTTTCCCAAGCTAATGCAACATTAGCGAACCAAAGAGAAGCTTTGGGCCTTAAATTGTCCATTTTAAAGCATAAAAGAGTTTATCTTCCCATTTCAAAGAGCCTTCTATAGTTGCATCCGACAAAAGTTTTGCCAATATCAGATGAAGGATCAAAACATCAATCACACTTCTCAATAAATAATAAACTTTTTATTGCAATTTCACTCTAATTAACAGCATTGGTTCATAAACATACTAAGATTTGCGAGTTTGTAAATATACAGCATTGACATGTACAATAGCAAACAGCTTCTTCACAGGAGAGAGAGCTGCAAAGATGTGATCAAGCATGAGGAGCATGTCAATCACGAATGTATTGGCATTTTTTTCCTCAAAAGATTGGCAATGGCATGCAAATTCTATCTTAGGTCCAAAGTAAAACCAATCATCAAACTCACGAATTGACAATGAGCTAAGCAACTAATAAGATACTGATATGATGCAGTGATATTGATCTTACACTGATTCACTGGATCAACAAGTCGTGCACATTGACGATGGTTTGCACCATCCTGCGATATAGAATTAATTCAAAAGAGTAAGGATATCTAACTGAAGTTCAAGGTGTCTCAAGCTTCAAAGAAAGTAATATTAATTGGACAAAGGACAAAAACTAAAGGCAAAAAAGAGTGTGAAAAAAACCTCCAAATAAATCAGAGACAAAAGACAGAAGTTAGCATACAAACATTCTGTACTCGAAGAAAGGGTGAGAAATTTCAGAATTTAACAGGACCACAAAAAAGGTAAATAAGGTGGATATATTTCTCAGTAAAATCAGACAGATTACACAAAACAGTAGCTGCTATCTATAAGTTATGACTATAGCATCAATAATTGGTAAGCAAATTAGTAGACAACTAGCATCAATAAGTGGTTTAGTAAGCAAATTAGAAAACAAATAGACTTGCCTAATGTAATTTAAAGAGCGATTTACTAGCTGCTATCTATAAGTTATGACTATAGCATCAATAATTGGTAAGCAAATTAGTAGACAACTAGCATCAATAATTGGTAAGCAAATTAGTAAACAACTAGCATCAATAAGTGGTTTAGTAAGCAAATTAGAAAACAAATAGACTTGCCTAATGTAATTTAAAGAGCGATTTACTCCAAGATGTGATAGGAAAGCATTGGAGAAACTGCAAGACTATCTTCTAAAAAAAAAAAAAACCCTTGATACATAACAGTTCAATACTGCAAACACAAGACAAGAGTAGCAACCTTAGGAGCAGGCAATTTCCAACCATCTTCCAGTGACCAAGCTAAAGATGGGCGTAGATCAATCAGAGACGCTTTATATGAGGAGCCTTCACCCATAGGCGGTGGGGTCAACTCGACCTACAGCAATTGAATGGTCCAAAGCCATTGAACATCATAGTTTTTCCACAAAATTATTAAATAAGTATAGGCAAAGCTGATAGCATTCCAAAAACAGTAAACAACACAGTTTTACATGGCCACTGAGAAGATGGATTTCCACTCCAAGCCTTCATTACCATAACACTTTGGTTCAGTCACTCAACCTCATTGTTCACCAGTAAGAGGAAAAGCTAAAAATATTAAAAAATCCGCTAGATTGTTGCAATGCCCAAACCTGACTTTTGTCATGATCCAATTCTAAATTTAAATCTGGGTAATCTTATGATAAATTAAGATTTAAATAGCACCAAAAAAAAGTCAAACTGGTGATGTTCCTGCCTCATGGTGAATTGAGCAAAGAAAAACAGCTCCATTGGAATGGTAACAAACTTAAGAGCTACTAAGCGGAACACCTGATTCTTCATTTCTTCAGTTCTACATGCTAATGGCAATGCATATTGTACTTTGATGCTTCGGTACTAGCTTTTCCCACCAAGAAAATAATCTTATAGAAGACACAACAAGGGTACATGAAAGAAGACATGATTGACCTTGCATTTTTTTCACAAAATTGGGACAAGTCACTCAGCTCTAGAGGCTTATAGTCTAGTTAATTCTTGGTACTAGATTTCCATAGAAGTTCAGAAGGAAATACTCTCGACAAAAGGCAAGAAAGAATCCAGATCTGCTTTTGAAATGACTTCACTCGAATAAAAAATTACTGTCTAGGTCAAGGCCAATTAATTGAGGTAAGCCCCATCCCCAACCCATCTCATGGTATGGATCAATCCATCTCATGGTATGGATCAATCAACATGGTGCACAAGGGGTAAGGTGTGCACCTTTCAACTTCAAGTCACCTTCATGAACATGTTATGCAAGCCGAGAATATATCATATTCAAATAAGAACCAAAATATCAAATGCAGAGGAAGAGAATTTGAATTGTTTACCATGGCTTCTTCATTGCCTAGTATTTGTGTAACTTTTCCAGACCAAAAACATTGATCCTTCCACCAATCGACAAGATCACCCACATTCCAAATAGCTTCAGTAATAACTATGACTTCTGAAGTTTCATTGGCAGGAGGCAATTGACCCTCATGGTAGATAGGTGGAAATGGAGGCCGCAGCATCAACTCTCTTTCAACCCCACTTCTTCTCTTATGTCCAACTGGAGGTAGTTGATATAATCTTATCGGTTTATCCTCTGCAGACATTCAACACAAAGGAAAACTGAAAAAGATGGTCCTCAATGATGAATGACAGCATAATCCAAGGAAAAGAATTGCACATTTCAGTTTGAAATACAAGCAAATGACCTAATTGACTAAATTATCTACTGCACCAATTTCAAGAAGCAAAAGCAATCTTTTCTTTTGCTTTTTAACCACACGCGACTACCCTAGGGAACTGAGAAGGAAAAGGATAGGCAGTACAAACACCAGGGATGAGTTACCAAATGCCTTCATGTTCTAGATATGGTTATCCAAAGAACTGATAATGTCCAGAACCAAAACAAGGAAACCATCCCCATGTCTCAAAATGCAGTATAGCTAAAATGCAAAACCCGACTAGAATACAACCATGCTTCATGTCAACAAAGAGACATAATAAATAAAGATAAGAATCTGAGATGCATTACAAAGAACACTAAGAGTTCACAATGATGGGCAACTAGCATTCACCAATATCAGCAGATGGGTGTCTATATCATTAGTCAGTACTTGCAGGTCTCTTGTCTACTATGTTGCCGACAACTCACAGCCACTCCAGAAACAAAGTATATTTGCCATACAAACTGTACAAGTACATATCATTAATCAATACATGGGTTTTATCGCATTAGTAATCAACATAATCTTCATATGTACAGTTGCAGAAGAGATTCACTCAAAATATCACAAGTTACTTCTGGAAATCATCAATTAAAAGAGATTCACCAATAAGCTCCAAGGCTTTCTACAACTAGCCAATTAAGTTGCAAGTCAGATACAAAGTCAATGCGAAAATAAAACTACACAAAACAGTGCTGGAATTGACAAGGGGCATTGCCAGTCTTCCAGTTCCACTAAAAACCTGGATGTGTGACTTTCATAAATATTAGTTTAGGATGATTCTAAAGTCTATGACATGAATAACAAAACTCTAAAATAGGTTATCAAATCCCAATTTATTAAAACCTAAATTGGTGCATTGCAGGAAACTCCACTCGCCATCTATTTACAAAAGATTACTACCTACCTTCCCTCTGAATGGAGAAAGTTTGTACTAACTAGCATGGATAATCAAGTATGAGAGTCACTTGGTGATCATCCTACAATGAGTCTTGACCATGCTTAAGAGTGTCAACCACGCAAAACTAGAATTAAAAATAGCATATTAAACAGTGATCCTCGGGTAGCAGCTCTTGAACAAAAACCTTAAGCTCCATTTTTTAGGGTGTTTTTGAAATATTTTACTATAGCAGTGTATACGAAAGACTTTTTACCATAGATTTTTTCCTAATGTTTTTGGAGGTGTTTTTGTGATATATTTTGAGGTATTTTTAAAGTTTAAAAATGGGTATTTTTCAAAAATTAATACCACCACCCCCTCCCTTCTCCTCCCTCTCTTTCAACCTCCTCCACCCTTCTCCCCATCCCCCTTCCTCCTCCTCCCCTCTTCCTCCTCCCTTACTTCCTCCCCTCCTCCCTTCCCCTTCCCCCCTTCCGGATCTGACTGAGACCAGATCGAGGTCTCTGGTTACGACATCGCAGCTAGATCGCGGTCCTTCCGGTTATGATCTGGTCAAGGCCAGACTTGTTGGGGGGGGGGGGGAAGGGGAGGGGTGGGGTGTGGCAGGAAAGGGGAGGGGAAGGAGAAGGGAGGAGGAAGAGGGAGGGAGAGGAAAGAGGAGAAAGGAGGGGATGGGTGACGGTGGTGGGTAAGGGTGGTGATGATAGATAGAAGAAAAAAATGGTGTAGATTTTTTTTTTATCTATATTTGGAGTTATTTTTGATATATTGTATGGATGTGGTGTTTTTTAAGTTATTTTTGTTTGTGTATTACTGTAGTATTGTATACGAAAAACTTGTTTTTAAAAAAAAAAGAAATCCAAACAGAGCCTTAGTCAACTAAGATCTAGCATTTACATTAAAGTCTTGAACAAGTTCATCAAGTTGATTTCACAAGTCTTGCACACTAAAACACTCGAATCAATTTGAACATTAAACATAGACTGAGTAGACACTTATCAAATAGAAACAGAATAGCAAATGCAAGAGAGTTATCTATCTGGAAGTGGGAACTCCATACTTTTTGAAGTAAATAACGAGTTTGTCACTTTGGACAGTTACTAGTCATTCAAGGAGTTTTTTTTTTGGGAAAAAAAACCCTAGTAAACTACAAAGGCCACACTATCACATTCATCAACTAGACACCTGTTTTCATCCACAATCCTTGATGTGTGATTTAAAACTTTTATAACCTTCAAACTTAAGAAGAAAAATGTCAAAAAGCCGGGAGGCTCTCCCTATATTGATTTTGACATTTCTAGTTATCTAAATTTTAAGTAGTTGCCCCTTCATTAGAAAAATAAGAGCATTCACTTTTATATAATAACAACAGCAATGAAAAGCAAAAATACAAGATTCACAAAGTGAAAAAGTAAAACAATGATAAAAAATGGCTTACTTTCATCTGGAAAATCAAGATAACGCAATCCATAATTGATGTGCCCATCTCTCCTTTTTGTATCTACTATCTAACACAAGATATACGAGAACTGTAAGTCAAAATGTTCTTGCCCTATAACAAGTCAAAGTCGACAAATATTAAGAAACCCATGCTCTTCTATGTTGAAAAAGGATTACATGATTTATTAATTGATAGCATGAATAGGAAAACAGAGAACTTATGCTGAATCACTACCCCGAAATTGAAACTACTCGCATTTTATTGGTGTAAAGAACATATGCTAGCTGTTGAAAAGGACAAACCCCTCCCACATAGAAGCCTAGAGCATGAAAGCAAGAAATCTTTTCAAGGCAATACATAGCCTCACACATCGAATAATTGGTTCTGTTTCGGTGGTTAGCTCCATTCATATTGAAGATAATTTGAAACATCAAGTACTATAGGATTTGTTGCAGAAGGAAACTATCAGACAATAAATTTGCATCCAAAACACGTTTTTGCAATCACATTTTAATTTTTTTAACCAAGTTTTCACCAAACATATGCCAGATTACAAACAAGTGCAACATTAGTATTAACAGGTTTTTTCAAATAATCTTCAGCACAAACAAATCTAAATTTCCAAATAGAGCTGCCTTTTTGGGGTGCTTTAACAAAATTTTTACTTTAGCCACTTTATTGGAGAGAGTTGTATGAAATGTGAAGGTGGTACGAGAATGTTTTAGACAGAGAGATTTTTAGAAACAACCCATCCAAACAAAGAGATTCCTGTAGATCTGTCTAGTTCATTAATAGAACTTAATTTTCATCATTAGGCAAGGAGATTGCCTTCATAATATCAAAACCATGCACACACACTAGATTATTACAACAATAGAAAACCCATTATCCCACATAATGCTCCAAAAAGGGAAAATTGAAGATCGCTTTTACACAGGAAATAATCCTAGTTTCACAACCCATGATTCTAATAATCAATGTACACTGGTTGAAGTTAGGAAACCATCGACTTGACATGAAAAATTATGACTTCCATCTTTTAGAAGGTGACCACAAAATAAACCATTAAATTAGACAAGAAAAATCCAGAAATTTAGAGCAAATAACCCCAGCCATGTTTCATTATGCTCCCAAAGCAAATACCCAAACTACCAAGTAAAAACAATAATAAGGAAGAGAATTAAGGGAGCAATTCATTCAATACATACTATCAAAATCTCTTCATAGTAAGGGTTTAACACTTCATTTTTATTGTCTAATGGCATATGCACATCTTTGAAATGAAAATAGAAAAGAAAAAGGAATGGACCACACACAACTATTCAAATATACCAACTATTAGTAGACACGCAAGGAGAATAATTTAAATAGTGAGGAAGTAATTTTTGCCCCCAAAGTCACTACATCTCCAATAGCTCTGAAGATATTAGTTCAAAAGGAGATGATTACTATGCTTCTTGTTCCATATTTTCAACAAAAAAGTTGAAAGTAACAATCTAACGTACCTTTTGAATTGAGGCAACACTAGGGAAAAGAAAGGAGATAAATCAAAGGAATTTAGTTTTTCTTGTTTGGATTAAATTTTGAGAAGAGAAAGCGATAAAGAAAGAACGGCATTATGCTTCGTATGTATTCCATCCAAAGTGGGCAGATAAGGACGGAGAAGAAGCCTATTAAATGAACTAATATAGAGTACATATGAATTCCGATTTTTTCCGAGAACGTCTATTTCAAATACACACCTACAACAACACTTGCCAACCTTTCCCAGGAACGCCCCAAAACACCTTAAAAACACAGACATAAACAACCCCTTAACTATCAACTCACCTCCTCTGTCCTGTCCCGCATCCCGCCTCCCTCCCCATGCAAAAGTGCACAGAAAAGGAGAGAAGAAACCAAATTTAATGAATTCCGCATTCTGATTCTTTACAAAAAAGTGAGGTCTGTTTAGCACCCAAGTTTTTGCATGTTTGGTTTAAACAATAAGTGTGTTTGGATAGCCTTTATTTGCACAAAAATTATTTACTTACATCACACACACATTTTTCAACACAACTTTTTATCTACCTAATCACCTTTAAATATCACATATATCATATTACAAAAAATGTTACAATAATTATTTCAAATAATATCTCAAATAAACTCCTATCGAAAAACACTTACTAATGTTTTTTCGACTTTCGGTACAAAAACTTGTTAAAACACCCTAAGTTTTATTGTAAAAAAAACCCCAAAATACCAAAAGAGACACCCATTTCCCTCTTCAATCACCAATCTCCCTGACCATTTTACTCTCACTGCCTCTGCCTCTGCCTCCGCCACCTACAACAACCACTGCCCCACCCCTCCTCCTTCCCCTTTCCTTTGTCCCCCTCCTCACCCGCCATCCCGTCTCCTCTGTCTTCTGCAACTCCTTCCCTCTCTCCCATCTAAGAGTCATCCCCTCATCTAGTCAGTCACCGACCAATTTGACACAAATCCAATCGCACAAGCAAAGCTATGTTGCATGGAGAGGGAGGGAGAACAGGGGAAGAGAACGGAGAGGGTGGTGATGAGGAAAGAAAGAAAAGGAGGAGATGGAAAGAAGAAGAGGGAAAGGAGGAGAAATGGTAGGCCATAGTGGTGTGGTGAGAGGAAGGACCAAAGGAAAAAAAGAGGGAGGGGGTAGGGTGGCTGTTGGTAGCAGCGAGTAGGGAAGGGAGAGGTGGTAGCAACGGAGAGAAAAGGGAAGGGGGTGGCAAGTAGGGATGGAGGACAAGTGGCAAGCAAGGAGAGGTGGCAGTTATTGCCGGAGAGTGTGATGGCCAGGGTGGGTAGACCATAGAACGTGTCGAAATTTATAACTATCCTTTAAATGCTTCTAAATACATAAAAGTTTTGTAAAGACTTTGAATTACAGCAAAATTTTACACAAACTGACAAAAACCAAGCCAACCAAACGGACCCATATATCTCAAATACACATCTATAGTAACACTTCCCAACCTTTCCTATAAACACTCCCAAAACACCTTAAAAGCCACTCAAAACAATCCTATAATCCCCAATCAACTTACCTCTTCCTCTCTACTATCCTCCACCCTTGTCCCCGTGCTCACAAGCCCTAAAACCCAGCCCACCTCCCACGGTTCCACCACCTCCCCTTTCCCCTTCTTGCATCGCCCTCCTTTCCCTGCCATTTCCCCTTTCCCCATCTTCCTCCTTTTCTCTCTATTCTCCCCCACCACCATCCCCTCTATTTTGCCCCTCCCTCACCACCTCTTTCCTTTCTTCTCTTCTCCTCATCTTACCCTTTATTTTCCCCCTACCCCTATCCCCACCCCCTTCCTTCTCACGGCCTCTCCTGGCCTCTCCTTTTGCTTTTCCCCTTCCAACATGAAGAGAAAAAAGGAACGCAATGACAATAGAAGGGAAAATAGAAGTGGTTATGTGAGAGGCGAGGAAGGAGAAGAGATTACAAGAGGAAGGGGAAAGAGGAGCTGGCAAGGGGATGGGAAGAAAAGCTATGAATAGGGGAAGGCGGTGAAAGATGGGGAAGAGAGTGGTGGTGGGTGGCCTTGGAATACAAAGACTTTGGTTACTGAAAATTAACACAACCCAAAAACCATAAAAAAAAAACAGAACTATAGGTGAATTTTTTTACTATATACAACTAATGTAGAGTTTTTTACACGCATTTGATAACATCTACTCTATACGTAGCTGTATATATTTTTTTAAAATCATTGTTCTTCTTCCTTTGTAGTTAAAAAAACAGTTGCTATTCTCATTTCCTTTTTTTCCTTCCTTAATTCAAAGCAAAACATGCAATACTGTTTAAATTATAATGGGTTTGTTTGGATACTAAAATTATCTCAAATAATATTTCGCTTGCATCATAAACACATTTTCCAACCCACCTTTTTACATTCCCAATCACCTTTTTATCTCACATACATCACATCACAAAAAGTGCTACAGTAATTATTTCAAATAATATTTCAAATAATACCCTATCCAAACTAATCCAATTTTTTGGGGGTTTTAAGTAAAAAATTCATTGGAACACTTTTTTAATATGTGATGCATATAAGATAATAAAGTGGCCTCAATATTCACTTTCTTTTCCTATCATATTTAATCCAAGCAAGAGTAATAAAAACAGCTTTCAATTGCTTATCTTCCATTTCTTTTCCTTGGAGTCCATTCCTTTCCTTTCCCTTCCTTTCATCTCATCCAAATAGTGCCTAAGGACCACGTGCTTCAAAAACTTAGGTCCAAGTAACATGGATTACCAAGTGGTAACCAAGGAATAAGTGCTTCAATAGCATGAGATCCAATGTTACTATTCCCATCAAGATTAGACTTTTGTTTCTACAAGCACATGTCAGGTTAGCTAAGGGCTCAGTGATAGATTATCAAATCTACCACTCTATTATTAGCAAAAATTAAACATTGTGCCATTCCATCACTAGAAAAAGTAAAATACATATATATATATATATAGCTAAAAGCACTTAATGTTTGGAAATGTGATGACTTGTTAAAAAAAGTACCCCACTTTATAGTGTCTTGGTAAAAGTATAATAAATGCTTAATTGTACTTTTTGAATTCATATCTATATAAATAATTTTCGTGTTTGATAATATATATTATTTGAACTTTTGATATGCATCAATTTGTATCCTAAGCTCAAACTATGACAAAATTGTCAAATTGTATTTTTTTTAAAACAAAAAGTTCATTCCAAATACCACCAATTTTTACCTTGTGCTGAAACTGTTTTGAGGTCAAAAGCTCTAATCTTAAATTCATATAACAACACCTAACAAACATTTTAAATATACTTGTACCCAAGAAAAAACTTCTTCAGCAAAAGCACCACAGCCCCAAACAGGCTCTTAAACCAACTAAAAAGCTAGATTAGACTCCCAAATGTAGCATGTTGTACAATTGATTATAAGACAAATTAAATGAGATACCAGTACAAGCACACTTTTAGTATATATGTTGTGTAGATACCTTGCAACGAAACCACGCGCCTCGATAACCCTTCATGAAGGATCTTGCCTCAACCAGTTGCCCAACTTTAAAAGGTTGGTCATTGTACTTCTCCATGATGATAGCAAACAATCTACATATATGTATTACAGATGCATCAAACTTTAGACAACATGTCAAAATAGATGTTGCCAGACAGTATGCTATAATTACAAGCTCTTCACTAATGGACGATTTCAAGTTAAACCTCTCCAATTGCATAGACCATTAATTTGTTATTATGATCTTTCTCGAAAGATTTATTTGTTGCATAACAAACCCGCTTCTAAAGCTAAAGGCCATTATGGTTGATTAATAATGCTCTTAACACTAGCAAAAAAAATTCCACATCAAATTTAATAATTTCAACCCTATGCTTTTTATTCGCATTAATACTGGGAACATAAGAAAACTACACACTATGATTTTGAAAATTACATACAATTGTCAACCATCTCTTTTTCCAAATTTATGGCTGTTTTATTTCCCTTTTATAAAAAAAAAAACAAAAACAAAAACAAAAAAACTTTCTCCCAAATTTATGGCTAATTTATTTCCCTTTCATCCCAAAAACTTTGGTGTATCCACCGCAACTCTTTAAACAATTTTATAGAATAAGAATTTAAACATATATATAATAAAAATATTAAGAATTAATCTTATATTAACTAACAATGTAAACACTATCACAGTTAGATACTTGACACATGTGCAAAATTTGCATTTCAAATTTAAATTCAAATTATGCATCATATATTCAATGGTAAAAATGTATACACTATTAGTATTCAGTATATAGAAAATAAATCTTAATAATAATAATAGTAACAATTTAGACAAAGTTGCTTAAAATTGAATATCAATGAGTGTGTTTGGATTGGAATGATTTGAAAAAAAATAATTTGCTTCACAAATCCTGATCACCTTTTTATCTTCTGAATCACCTTTTTACCTCACATACATCACATCACAAAAAGTGCTACAATAATTATCTCAAATAAATCATCCAAATAAACTCCTATCCAAACAAACTCATTGTCTTGTTGATGCTACAAGATTCGAATATAACAATCATGATCAAGTGGATATAAGGCCTAAATCGATAAAAGAGATGCAAATCCAATCCAATCTAAAATTTAGGTTGCAATAATACTGCTCAAAAATGTCTCCATAACCATAGGAGCGACCAAAATAAACTAAGAATAACCATCTTTTGATAATCAATCCATGAGTTCATTTGGATTGAATTATTTTTAAAGAAGATACCTTTTATCATTCACCAAGAACATATTTTTTAATTATATTTTTTATCAAGCATTCGTCACATTCAAAAAAGTGTTATAATAAATAATACTAAAATATTTTTTAAAACAACCATAAATCCAAACAAGTTCCTCACCTTTACAGTCATCATTTTTTATGTCTAATTCCTATTTCTTTCCTTAACCTTAACCATTAATGAGTAATCAATTCAACAATTACAAAGTTGATATTCTTCCTTTACATCCTTCTAGATCTACTAGTCTGACAGTAAATCTAATGGAACTTAACATAAATCAATCAAAAAGTTAAAGACCCCATGATATATTTTACCTTTGTCCCAACAATTAAAAAACCTTAATATACTTCAAAAAATCTACTCAATAATCCAAAGAACTAAGAGGTTCAAACTTAGATCTACACCTAAGCAACTTTGAATATTGCATAAACTTACCAAAAAAGTTAACAATCTTTAAGCAACTTATCACAGAAATTTTCCACTTCAGATCTATCCATCAAAAAGCAAAAAGGAACCAGAGCGACTTTAACCGAAGGCCAAGAAAACAAGAGCTAAAAAGAGCCAAAAGGAACAAGAGCGAAAAGAAGCAAAAGCAAGAGGCGAGATGGGAATAAAGAAAAAAGGAAGCGGCGATGGAAACCTAGAGAAACCAACCCCATTAAATAGAGAGCTAAACTGCCAGCAAATTTCCAAAATACCCTGTACTATGTCAGAAATCCCAAGAGTACCATGCGTCCCGCCTAAACACGTAACCTTTCAATATTTACGGGGAGGATAAGATTCCACCGACAAAAACAAATCTATTAATAAATATCGCATGCCACAGACGCAATCGATTTGTTTGGATAAAATATTATTTAAAATAAATGTTATAACACTTTTTTATAATATAATGTATGTAAAATAAAATAATAATTAAAAAAATAAAAAAATAAATTAAAAATATATTTATAATGTAAATAAAATATTATTTAAAAAATAAAATATTATTTAAAAAATTTGATATCCAAACAAAGTTGCGACAATCAAGAGACCTCATATGAAAGAACAAACTCTGGGACAGAAGAGTCGGTAATGAATTGCGTAGGTATAATACCACAAAAATTGGAGAGGGAATGGGCAGCCAGCCCAAAGACAAAAACGTGGAGATTTGACAGGAGCACTAACTTGTCGTTGATTCAATAATAGTTTGGTCCCCGTCGTCGTGGTTCAATTGAGCCCTCCCTTCAGTGTACGAGTAAAGTAATAGAAATAGCGTAGAGGATCTGATGGAAAAACAGGAAGCGTCGGTCAAACAAGCAGCTCTTGCTTTCTTTGACGCAACGCGACCCTTCATACCTGACGATTCCGGCGAGGCCTTGCAAATTGATGGATGTGCGCCAGAAGTTTGTTTGGGAAGCTTATACGATGGAGAACTTTTAAGACTTAGTATCACAGTACTCTCGGAACTCTGTGATGCCGGTCAAGAATTTTCAAGCACCACCGTAATTCAGCTGGCTATCATGGGCGGGTTTGTCACCGGAGGCAATGGAAACGGTTTTAGTTCCGCTTAGGTTGTGGTAATTAATACAACTTTTAATAAAAATATTTATTAATGTTTAAATATTTTTAAATATATTATTTGTAAACTTAAGTACTTAAGTATTTTAGTTTTTATTTGGTTCATAATGTAGGATAAAATGGTTAAATTTGATGTTTTATTTTTTAAAATCACAAAATCTACTCCAAAACATCAAATTTAATTTTTTATTAAAAGTACTTTTAACATTAAAAATTTTATTTCTAATTTATAACACTTTAAAAGTACTATCAGCACATAAAAGTGCTTTTTTTATCAAAAATATCACAATTTAAAACGAGACCTTAGTGGATTTAGTGGGGCCTTTAGAGCCGTATAAACAATATAGAAGATTGGTTTGATTCAAAATAGATTGGATTGAACTTGGCTTGTTTGGATTATGAACGTTTGGATTAGCAATTTTTAAATATTCATGTTTTTCAAATACAATAAATCTTAAAATATTTAAAATAATCTTCAAAGATCCTCAATTTGCCCTTATTAAGATTTATCCTTCAAAATCTTTTGACATAATTGTGTATATTAGTGGGTTTGGATAGGAGATTATTTGGGATAATTCTTTTAAAAAATACTATAGCATTTTTTGATGTAATATATGTAAGATAAAAAGATAATTGAAAAATGTGTTGATAATGTAAATAAGTCAGTTTGTGTAAATAAGGTGTAATCCAAACACAATATTTCTTATATATACATATATATATATGTATTAAGCATTGGTATTATATATTTAGATATATAATTATATTTCATATATATATGCATGTATCAATTATTGGTATTATATATTTAGATATATAATTATATTTCATATATATATATATATATATATATATATGTATCATGTGAGGACTCGTAATTTTCTTAATTTATAGGTTTTATTTTCTTTTAATTGCATGTTTTTCCACATTTTCTTTATTCAAAAAATTTTAAAAATAATTTTTATGAGTAAATATAGTTTTTAAATGATTGTTCTAGTATCGGTTAGTTTTTGAGAAATTAAGAGCGTATACTGGACGTGAGACCTGTTAGTACAGAAAGTTCGGTAAAATTCGACCAATTAGGTTAAGTGTTGGATACCGGGTTTATTTTAGTAGGTGTTAAGAGATAATTAGAGGATACCCAATGGATGAGAGTTTGAGAGACAAAAGGATAGCTATGCATTAATGGTAGTGACAAGTGTCACTTGATGGTTGATTCTTGACTTTGACCACTATTCACTACTTTGCCAATTAAATCAAAAATTACCCAAAAATCATCTTCATTTGCAAGCTTCTTGGGCGGCTATCTTCAAGGGGAAAAGAAGAGAAAACTTCCAACTTTCTTGCTTCTAATCTTGCTCAATCCTCAAGTTCAACCGATTAAACTTAGATTTCCTCCATAAAACCTCTTAGTTTAGTGGTATTAAGGTTGGTTGTGAAGTGGTTTGGGAGACCAAGGTGCTAAGTGCTTCCTTTCTTGAGTTGGTAAGGTGAGTAGCTAAGGAACCTTTCTTTTCTTCTCAATAATGTGTAATTAGTGGCTTATGTGAGTTAAAGAGATGGTTTGAGGTGTTATTTCTTAACTTTTTGTAGAAATTGGTGAATTTTATATTTATCCATGATTTTTTTCTGTTTTTATATGTTTAGTATTGGTTGGTCATGGATGATCGTTGGAAATAGTTTAGAATGAAACTATAGTACGTAAATTGTGGCTATTTGCGAAAAATTTTCGCTTTGAAAGGAAATTTCGGAATTAGGGTTTCAATTAACCCCATTCTGCCCGATACTGTTTCTCCTAGTTAGAGGCCGAATTAGCCTTGGGTTAAAACATAAAAGTTGTAGAGAATGATGTTTTATAGTTGTCTGCAAAATTTCAGCCCAATCGGAGCAACGTAACCTATGAAAAGACCGAAATACCCCTGCTGCCCTGTTTCTGTCCGAAACTGTTAATCAGCTTCTGTAATTGGTTAGTTTGACCAGGAATACTACTGATTTGATTGTCGATGTTTTCTTAAGAATTATAGCCTTGTATCTTATCTTTCAAATGATTTTGGAATTACCTAAATCGGAGTTGTGTGTACTGAGATATGATTGAATGAAACATGACTGCTAGTTGAACTTCGAACTGAAAAATTTGGGATTATTTTGATAAATTTGACCTAGTTAGGGTGAGAGTTGGACTAAGTAGTCTTCATCAAAGTTATAGCCCTCTGCCTTAGTTTCGAAACGGCATAACTTGCACTTTAATCCAATAAACGTAGTTTTGGTTAGGTTCCGATACGCTAAATAGCGGTGAATCTGCCTTTTTGGTTCCTTAGTTTAAAACTCATTTCCGGTCATTTTTCTAGCTAAATCTTGTACTTGAATGACTTTGAGCCTATTGAACGGCTGTTGTGATGAATTTATATTGCGTATGACTTTGGGATTGATTGAGAAAAATAATGAAGTCATAAGTGGTTGGGAAAATAGGTAAATACAGAGGGCATGTTGCCCAAAATTTTAGGATTACGTGATTCCTTCAATTGAGTTGATCTTAGTACAAATGAAGCGTTTTGGGGTTGTTTGTAACCCTAGAACCAACTGTTATCTTTTTGCTCAATACTCATATGTTATTCTTTTGTACTAGTACTTAATCTGGAAAGGCGTACAACATGTAGTCGAATCTCACTTGTGCATTCCGTTTACTCGATTTTGGATGTGAAACCTTCAATTGTTTTACTTTGATGATTTTAGGGTTTCTTGGTGATTAAAGCCAGTTTGAAGTGAAAACTTTTGAAGTATCTGTACTTGAACTGATGAGTGTACCACTCCCCTCATTTGCTGCTTAACTTGGTTTCTGCCCTTACAATCTGCGATTTAAATGACTGCACTATCTGTTTGTTCTGTTTGAGACGAGAGTGTACTTTATCACACTCGTTCTCTTGTCTGTCCATATGCCTATTTACTGTGTATAATCTGTTAACTGTATCTGAGTCTGTTCGGACGTCGTTTGGAGGCTGGTATTCAACGACCTTTCTGTGACCTCTGAGCTCAACACCTGTAGCTAATTACTCAAGTCGGGCAGGCAAGGGCCTGGTCAATTAGATAATGAACCACGGTAGTCTGTTTTGGGAATCTTTGGATATTGAGACTCAAGATTCTGGTATACTCGAGTATTACCATTACTGTTCCTGTATGGAGTTCGGGTCCGGTAGGGATATATTTGGTGGACGAAAATTGGTGTAAAGTGGGGTCTACGGATATGTTAGTTCTATGTACGTTGACGGAGAGTCAACGGGTTCGGATCAAATACTGCAAATGGAAATCTGGCTCCTGAGAGCCACCTGTATCCTTTCCCTTTGAATCACTATGTTTAACTACTTTCCTTTATATCTGGTATATGTATCTGACTGGTTAACGTGAAAGGCCATGATTTTACCCTTATATGATTGGTACCTCATTGAGCGTAAACTCACCCCTTTCTGTTACCTTTGTTTTTCTTACAGGGAACCACTTTTGGGGACTATGATGTTTTGAAGCACGAGTTGAGTTAGTTTTAATATATTTTGTAAAGCTCCTCGATAGTTGAAAAAACCCTAAATGTATTTTGATCCAATTATCTTTCTTTTGTTTTGTAAATTACAAACGTATGTGTATAACCCTGTTTAACCTTGTTTATGTGTCCTTCCGAGTTATATGACATGGCACCCACTATTCATCGACGATTTTGATTTTCGTTTGGCTATTTTGCGATTTTGACTTGTTTGAGCGCTTTTATTTTTTCGGAACGTTTTAAATCGTATTTAACTGCACCGTTAGTCCTGGCGAGAGTTGGGCAGGCAGTCCGCTAAGCTCTTTGGTTCGCCTTAGGAGAAGGTGGGGCTGTCACATATCAAGTATTGGTATTATATATTTAGATATATAATTATATATAGCAAGATATGAATATTTTTATACACACACAGAGATTAAAGGGTCAAGTATATATCGGATTTAAATCTAATAAGATTTAAAATTGACTCACATTTAATTTGAATTTAATATTTAGGCCCAATTTCAATGAAAGGTTGGACTCATCAGATTTTTTCTCGAATCGAACGGACAAAGTTTGAGTTGACTTGCCCTATTAACAGG